AAAAAATGTTTTATTGTGAATTATGTGATAGCTTACATGGGAGAACATTAGTTTTACATTCATCCTATCATATATCATTTTATTGCCATGGTTACAATCCCCTCTATGCATCATCAACCAACCAAAGGGTATACACTACAAGCCTGCCCCCTCCCCGCACCCACCCTCAGGTTGTCAGCACACAGCCCCTCTCCCTCTCTGGGTCTAAAGTCCCCAGCTGCTCCATCTCTCCATGTCATCATCTCTGACTCCATCTCTGGCATCACTGCTTCTCCCTTGATGGTCCCAGGGACCTCCGGTCCTAGACTGCAAAGTTAATCACTCCCCTCCTTGCTAAAAAATGTCTACCTTTACATTTCCAACCCTCACAATCAGTCCTGATAACAACTGTTCACTATTGTATCACAGGAGACCTACCCACATTTCCTTTCATCAGCCCCACCTAGACAGATTGGATACTACACAGTGGAGATTCCACCTTCCTCCACACCCTCTGGATCTAGGTTCCCTCTTGAAAACTTGCAAGCAAGTCACTTCTTGCCTTTGTAGCCCCCCATTCTGGGTAGTCAATGTCCAAGTTGCCCATCCCTGTCTACTCTGTGTATGGAGGGGGTGGGAATGATTCTTGCTGTAAAGATTTGTTCCCTTTTTTGAGCTACTGTATCCATAGGTGTAGGTCAAGTTCATCAAATTGTAATCAGTTTCTTTTGAGACGTAAAAGAGTAGATTAAGCAAGTAAGGAAGAAGCCAGAAGAGATGGGGAAGACAGAGTAAAGCCACAGGAAGACTGCGGATTAATTGAGCTGGAAAGAAACAAGGACTTTGCTCTACAGATGACACAGAGAGAAAGTCTTTCCCTAGAGCTGGCACCCGGGATTTGGACTGCAAGCACCCTAAAGTTTGCTAAAGCCACCCACTTGTGGCATTTCTGCTAGAGCAGCACTAATAAACTAAGACAGTATGCTTTGCTAGTTAAGTAAAATGGAGATTTGTTTGTACTTCTAGTCAGTGCCATTAATAACTTTAGAGCATACCCCAAAATAAAACAAATAACCCCAACAAACTTCTAAATCCAAATGGTAAGATACTATAAAAAGGTCCAGCAAAGCAGTGAGACGGTCTAATAAGGTCTGCCTTCTTATAACTCCCTTTCTTTCCTTCCCAGCTCTGTTTAGACTCAGTGAGCATGATGATATCCCAGGGTGAGGTCAGAGCTCTGTAGGTGCCCCTCATTAGTGCTGTCAGAGAGTTTCCTTTTAAGCATTACATCTGTTGGGCTGAGAATCTCCACAGTTAACCACCTAACTAAAATATGGCTTCCACTTTCTGTTCTGCTTGTAGGTTTTGAGCCCCAAGGAGGGAACAAAGGAAGCAGTGACAACTGTCTGATGCGCAAGACGGTAGAGTGAAAACACTGGTTTTGCCACCCACATTATGTATAAACAATGATGTTTTTCAGAAATACAAGCAGAGAACATTTCTCAGAAACATGAAGAAAAACAGCTACTTAAAAGAGGAGGGAGCAAGGTGAGCAATCATACAAATGGTTCTGCCCACACAGGAGAATATCCAGGAAAAGGAGACAATGTGAAACACTGTCCAACTATTTGAAAGAAATAGAGCAATTTTTACAAATAATGCATCAGCAAAATTAGCATTAATACATAAAGGCCAGAGAAAGATCTTTTACAACATAAAACCAGAAAGCCATGCTCACTGCTGAACAGGAAAAGGTAGAAACATTAACTGCCTCTTCTTTGCCAGTGCTAATCAGGTTACTGAATGGGACCAATCTTCCCCATCCAGGAGACAAGCTAGACTGCTAATCAGGTTACTGAGCGGGACCAATCCCCCACTCTGGAGATAAGCTAGAATGTTAATCAGGTCACTGAACAGGACCAATCCCCCTGGTTTTCCTCCTGTCCTCAAACAGGTCAGCACCCTAGCCCCTCCCTGACTCTGACCCCATATAAACCTGTGTTGCCCTCCGTTCGGTACTCAGAATCTGGAGAATGAGCTCCTCTGAGTCAGCCAACTTACTCTTAAACTCTGCTTCACCTCTTCGAGTGGCCTAGGTTTCTTTGACCACGGATCAAGAGCTGCTGTGACTCTCTCCAGCCTAGGGCTTTTGTGGCACTCTTGAATCTCAAACTACTGTAACACTGCCACCAAGCTGATTCTGACTCAGAGCGACCCGACAGAACAGAACTGTCTCATAGGCTGGTGGTTTAGCTCCTTAACAACATTCGAGTTGTCAAATAATATACTAACCTGTGGACAACTTCACTGAAAAGAAACAAATAGGAATCAAATGAAAAAGGGAAAGATGTGGAATATCAGAAACATGATGGAGGTAAAACTTAGTTAAGCTTAAATAATCATTGATAATATAATTGTGAATTGTTAAACTAGAAAAAGTAAAACAAATTTAAATCATCTAGAAATAAACTTATGCATTATTTCATCAAAATCTGGAGGCAGTGATTCAGAAGGATTTTATCTTATTTCGGAAGTAAAAGGTGAAGATATTGTCACATTTTAAACTGCCAGAAAAGTACAGATTCACATAAAGGGGCTTCAAAAGGTTCATGGAAAAATTCTATTATCTTTTAATGCCATGAAGACTCCTCACATATATTAGTTAGAACTCTAAGCATTGCTTGTTGGCACTGAATTGATCCTGATTCACAGTAACTCTATAGGAGAGAGAACTGCCCCACAGAGTTTCCAAGGCTGCAAATCTTAATGGGAGCAGACTGCCACATCTTTCTTCCCTGAGCAGCTCGTGGCTTTGAGCCACCAATCTTTCTGTTAGCAGCTGAGCACTTAAACCTCTGTACCACCAGGGCTCTCTCCAGTTATAGTTGCTGTTGCATGCCATCAAGTCAGCTCTGACTTTTAGCAACCCTGTAGAGGGTTTCCGAGGCTGTAAATCTTTACAGGAGCAGCAAGCCTCATATTTATTCTGTGGCGCAGCTAGTGGATTTAAACAGCTGATTGTGTGGTTAGCGGCCTGATGTGTAATCGATTCCACCACCAGCACCCCTTAAGCTTAAGGACCAATTGTTGTTAAGTACCATTGAGTCTGTTCCAACTCATAGCAACCCTACATAGAGCTTCCAAGGAGCAGCTGGTGGTTAGAACTGCCAACCTTGTGGTTCAAATCAACCTTGTGGTCTAGTGCTTTATCCCACAGCACCACAACAGGACCTCTATATTTAGCTGAAAGAAGAAAAAGAAAAAAAACCCACAAAAAACTAGCACTAGGAACTAGACCTATTTAGAGATTGCAATCTGCAATGTACAGAGTTCCTGTCTTCACACCAGTGCTTGGAGAGTGTTCTATGGATGTGGCGTTGTGGGAATTCGCAGAGCAACAGGCAGCATAGTTTGACCTTTCCCTAGCCACACATAAAAGCTTAAGTACCCAGATTCCCTAATTGAAATACAGTGACATTTATTATAGGCTGGTTCCAGCACCAGATTAACAAAATCATTTTAGAGCAAAATCAACTCTGGACATTACAGATGGTGTTGAAAGGGTAATTACAGCCTACTAAGTGTCTGACTAGGCAAACAACAACTAATAATCAAAGCAAAGAGTGGAAGGGCATCTCAAAACAACTAAGAGGTTATTTCTTCCCCCAAATGATTGCTTTAAATTGGTATCTTATTTCCCATGACCTTTCTGTAAAGTACATTATTAATATTTATGTTAATATTTTTAATGCAAAGTTATGCTGTTTTCTAAAACCAAAACCTCCCGCACCAAATCGGCGATCTCTGGGTCTCAGCAATCAGTGCTTGGAGACACTTTTTTCCTAGGAAGCAATGCTACTTAGACAGCAGTGCTGCCAACATAGGCTCTCACACTCTCCAGTCCTACCAGACACAGAGGTTCCCACACTCTCCAGTCCTAACTGACACAGAGGTTCCCACCCTTTCCAGTCCTACCTGACAGAGGCTATGAAGTCAAGGGACTCATACTTCCCCAGGCCAGAGATTCACAAGAGTCGCTTGGGTTTTTTTGTGTGTGTTTGTTTTAACTTTTTAACATGAAAAATTGAAAAAGTATACAAAAATTAGAAGGAATAGAACAAAGAACTTCATGATCACTTACTACAACTTCAACAACTGCCAACACCTGGACAAACTTGCTCCATCTAGCTTCTATATTTCACTTTCCAGAAGTACTTTAAAGAAAAATGTCAGACATGACCTTTCATTCTTAAGTAGTTTCTCTCACTATTTAAAATAAATCTGCTTTTTCATGAGTGGGACCATAAGTATATTTATTGTCATTGTTATTACGTGCCATCAAGTGCAAACTTGTACGGGGTTTCCTGTGAGTGGCTGGTAAGTTTGAAACACTGACCTCATGGTTCAAACTGGCCTTGTGGTAAAGTGCTAATCCATTTTTTGAGGGTGAATAAAAAATTATCTGTACTCTGACTAAATAATTTATTTTAATCACCTTATAGAAAGACAAATACAACATTTTAAAACATAATCTCCTTGCTTTTCAATATATTTTGTCTAACTCTCAACAAGCTTTCATATTCTCTTACAAAAAATGTTTTAGGCTAAGCTGTGAGGCAAGAATTTACCTTGGAAACCCTGTACAGGGTCGCTATGAGTCGGAACCAACTCCATGGCACATAACCACCACCACCACCACCATGCAGTTTATGAAATAATGTGCCCTTGCTTTTTGGAAAATACATATGAGAGAGAGAATATACAAATTTAAAGGTTTTTAACACTTAGTAACAGGAGTGCCAGGGTGGTGTAAATGGTAATACATTTGGTTGCTACTGAAAAGTTCATGGGTAGAATCTACCAAGAGGCACACTTCATGATCAGAGGCCTTAATGAGCTTCTTCTGAAAAATAAGTTACCAAATACAGTTCTATTCTGACACATGTGGAGGTCACCATAAGTTGGAATTGGCTTCACAGCAACTGGTTACTTAACAACAGAAATATCAAAGAAATACTCACCAATGACTTTAACAAAATATGCATCAGCTTCGAAGTTGTTTTTTAGTGTATGGATGGCAAAGTCATTCTTTGTATACCCTTTACTTAGTACTACAATGTCCAAAATTCCCTAGAAAAAGACATAAATGAAAACGGTAAGAACAATCTACTAGACTGATGTTGAAAACAGATTTCTTTTTAACAAAAAATTATTTAACTCCTGGTGTGGTGCCGCAGGATCAGTACTAGACTGTGAACCACAAGGTCAGCAGTTTAAACCCACCAGCTGCTCTTTGGAAGCCTATATGGGGTCACTATGAGTTAGAACCCACTCGACAGCACTTAACAACAATAACAACATATAACTTTGAATATTAAAAAACAAATAAAATGAAGAACATCTGTAATTTCAGTCTCTGGAGATGGCTGTTAGCATTTAGTATACGTGCATTTCCTTTCTGTCATTATTGCATGCATTCTTAGAAGACTGTGATATGGACTGCCAAATCGTTTCCAGTGATCTAGGAGAGGTGTTTTAATTTGGTACTTGCCACTATTACATATTATGCTGTTGTAGTTAAGTGCCTTTGAGGTGGTTCTGACTCATAGAGACCCTGTATAGGGTTTCTGCAGGCTATAAATCTTTGTGGGAGCACAAAGCCTCACCTTTCTCCTGTGGAATGGCTAGTGGATTCAAACTACCTTGTGGTTCACAGTCTGGTGCTTATTTTGTACAGAACCACAGCACTCCCATTATCTAATATGTTATTGATGTTAAGTGCAGTCGAGTTGGTTCTGACTCATAGTGACCCCGTATAAGGTTTCTGAGGAGTGAGTGGTGAGTCTGAACCACTGACCTTGCAGTTCAAACCGACTTTGTAGGTCCAGTGCATTAACTCACAGTGTCACACCAGGATTCCAATGATCTAACACAGGGTTTATGTTTAAAAAAAAAGAAAAGAAAAGTTCCATTTGATTGCTGTCTGCCAAATAAGTAAGTATTCATTGAAACTAACTTTCATTTGATTCTTTAATGTGGTTGATCGTTTATTATATCTTATTCATTTTCTTTTTTTTTTCCTGTAAAATGACTATGTTGTTTCTTTCTGGAGGGAGTTTTTATTGACAAAAATCAGTTTGTAAGAGTCTTTTTATATTACAGAGATTCATTATTTGGCTCTTTCATAGTAACTTTATTTCCCAGATTTATAAAATTTTAATTTCCATTTATGATACTTTTGTTGTATAGAAATTAAAAATTGATTCATGTCAATCATGCTTTTTTTCTTTTGTGAATTTTTTTTGGTCCATTACATTCATACCTCAAATACCAATGTCAAGTGAAATAATACAACATTTGGTAGCTGGAGAAACAAGGACAACGTGAATCTTGATAATTCATGTAACTGACTCAACCCTTGCAAAAAAGCAACATAAAACCAAAGACACGAGTGGGGGAGACATAACTTTCTAATAGGCATTTCAAATTTTAAAATAATCACAATTTTGCAAGAATATAAGGGGTTTCAAAAACTTTAACAGAAATTCCATTATTTAAAAATTTGTTTTTTCCATAAACTTTCTGACGATTCCTTGTATACATACTATTACATACAGACTCCGGAATTGGACACATTTTATTTCTGCACTTATTATTTTATCCTTAACACTCTAAATAGTAAATTGGCTTTTCACTTTATAAAGGGAGAAATGGGATCCTGAGAGTCCCTCAAAAGGTCATCTGGCTCAAGTATCTGTGATAATAGATACCATCACTCATCTATCAGTTTATCATACTATGGTGCCTTATGTTTTGTTATGCCAGTGGTATTTCAAATACCAGCAGAGTCATCATGTCGGGCAGGTTTCAGCAGAGCTTCTAGACGAGGGAGACAAGCCTGGCAGTTGACTTTAGAAAATTACCAATGAAAACCCAAAAGATCACAGGCGTCTTTTCTGAACAGAATTGTAAAAGGGAAGTCTTCATGATCTGTGAACCACACGTCCGGTATTGTGCTTGAAGATGAGCCCCCTAGGCTGGAGGTACTCACAATACACAGTAACCACGGCAATGCCTCTGCATACTAACAACTGTGAACAAAGTTTAGGACTAGGCAACATTTTGGTGCACGTGAAGCTGCCATGAGTCAGAGCTAACCTGAAAGCAACTAGCAATAAGAATGAACTCACAGTGTTGAAGAAGAATTCTGAACTCATTCTCCCAGTCTTGTACAAGTTCACAGATTACTGTCTGTTGAGTGTTCTTTTTCCTAATGCTGAGCATACAGATTTTCTGGTTTTAGTATTCTCCAGTGCTTTAATCCAAACAAGCATAGAATGAGATAAGGGCGTTTTTGTATTTCACTGTACTAATGAGTGACGTGTCAATTTGTTCCTTCTGCTTTTAGAGTTAAAAAGGACTTTCTTTAATTAATCAATTGTTTTCATTATTCATCTACATTTTCTGGTTAAACAAGGCAAAACTGAAAACACAAACTCAAGTGAGACAAGGTGGATGTGAATTAAACTTTCAAACATGCAAGAGTTTTGAACTCACATCTTCATAAATGTCAAAGAAGGTGGCAACCACGGCATCTCTGATTTGATTTAGGTTTGACAGATCCCAGTAGACTTTAAACATACGGTGTGCCCCCTCACAGCTTGCATTATTACAAGGAACATTCTCTAGTAAAAAGGCCTGCTGGTTGCTGTAAGACAAAGAAAAGACATTAGTTATTATATCGGTGCTGGGTATCATCAGTTGTAATAAATGGTACACAGTGGAATTATATTAAAAGATCTCCAAGTACTATTGATTACTGTATTGTGTCACATTTTTGATACTTACTATCAAGTCAGTTCAGATTCATGGCAACCCAAGTGTGTCACAGTAGGACTTGACTTCATTGGGTTTCTAAGGCAGTAAACTTTAGGAGCTCTGGTATGTAGTGGTTACGAATCGGGTTGTGAGCTGCAAGGTCAGCTGTTTGAAACTACCAGCTGTTCCATGGGAGAAAGAGGAGGCTTTCTGCTCCTGTAAAGATTTACAGCCTCGGAAACCCTGTACAGGGTCGCTATGAGTTGGAACCGACTCCACGGCACATAACAACAACAACAAACTTTAGGAAGCATATTGCCAGGCCTGTCTTCTGCGGAGCCTCTGGGTGGTTTTGAACCACCAACCTTTTGGCTAGAAGTCATGTGCTTATCCATTTACACCACCAAGGGACTTCGTGTACTGTCATAACAAATTTAAATTGTAGGCTATCCTTTGTTAGCAGTATTTGACTAAAATTCTTTGCTGGTTGATTGCTGACCTTTCTCTTCTCTGATGTGGAGCTTCTAAATCCATCCCCTTTTTCCTCCTGCCACTCCAAGCCAGTGGCCTTGTGTTACATTACTGAAAGCCTGGACACTCTCATTATCCCTTTGGATGTATACTCTTCCTCAGATGAATAATTGCATTTCTCATTCCCAAGTCTTATAAATCCAAAGCAATGAATAAATAATGACAGAATCTCAGCTGTCCTGACAAGGAGGTGGGTAGCTATTGCGTAGCACATTTCAGATAACAGAGTGTTGTTGTTCCCATGCCATAAAGTCTTCCCCTTTTTGAATCCTATTTGAATCCTATTCCAGAAATAAGTTCAGATTCTGGAGAAGAAGTTGATGTCGAGTTGATCTGATTTAAGGAGCCAGATTATCTAGATCCAAGTCATGGCTCTGTTATTTAGCAGCTGTGTGAGTTATTTAACCTTTCTAAGACTCAGAATCTCATTTGCAAACTGAGTAATAAGAGCATTCACATCACAGAATTGAAAAGATGAAATGATATACTGCACGGAAATTCCTGGCATTCAGGTGTTGTTGTTGTTAAGTGCCGTTGAGTTGATTCCTACCCATAGTGACCCTATACAGGGTTTCCAAGGAGTAGCTGGTGAGCTTGAACCACTGACTTTGCAGTTCAAATGGCTTTGCAGTCTGGCGCATTAACCCACAGCGCCGCCACAGCAGTGCTAAGAGCCCCAGTATGGTGCTGCAGGCTAATCACTGCACTGGTAATGGCAAAGCTGGCAGTTCATCATACCTGCATGCCACTTTCAGAAACTCTACACAAGTTCATTATGATTTGGTACCAACTTGAAGGCACTTAACAACAACAACAACATATATTTTGCCTAGTGCAGGGGTGGAGAATGTCTAGCCCATGGGTTGTTGTTAAGTGCCATCGAGTTGATTCCGAGGAGTGGCTGGTGAGCTTGAACTGCTGACCTTGCAGTTTAATCGGCTTGCAGTCTGGTGTATTAGCCCACAGCTCCATATCAGGACTCCGTGGGCCATATAAGGCTCTCAAATTGGTCTGGCCCTGCCTATGACAAGGCAACCGCAGTTCCAGCCATCACATTGTTGTTGTTAAGCACTGTTGACTCGGTTCTGACTATTCTGACTGTATAGGGTTTCCAAGGAGCAACTGTTGGATTGCAGCACAAACTGCAATTTTGCAGCACAAACTGACCTTAAAGTCCAGTGAATTATCCTGCAGTGTCACACCAGGACTCCAGCCACAACACTGTTGTTATTGTTAAGTGCCATCATGTTGATTCTAACTCATAGCGATCCTGTATGGGTTTCTAAGGAGTGCTGGTGAGCTTGAACTGTCGACCTCGCGGTTCAATCCGACATTGCAGTCCAGCGAATTAACCTGCAGCACCACACCAGGAATACGCCATGACATTGTTGTTGTTGTTCTTAAGTGTCGTAGAGTCAGTTCTGACCCATAGCAACCCTGTATAGGGTTTATGAGGAGCAGCTGGTGAGCCTGAACCACGAATGTTGCAGTTCAAACAGCTTTGCAGTCTGGTGCATTAACCCATAATGCCACACCAGGACTCCTGCCATAACATTGTTGTTGTTGTTAAGTGCCGTTGAGTCGATTCCAATCCATAGTAACCCTGTACAGGGTTTCTGTACAGGCGCAGCTGGTGAGCTTGAACCGCCAACTTTGCAGTTCAAATGGCTTTGCATTAGGGGTGAGTTAATTAAATGTTTGATCAAATATTCTGTTGTTGTTAAGTGCCTGTCCAGTTGGGCTCCGACCCATAGCCACCTTGTATAGGGTTTCCAAGAAGCAGCTGGTGAACTTGAACTGCAGGCCTCCTGGTTCAAGTGGACTTTGCAGTCCAGCACTTTAACCAACAGCGCCACACCAAGACTCCAAAGTGGAAGGGAGCAGAAAGCCCCAGCTTTCATTCACAGCTGCACTGGTAGTTTCAGATCTTGAGATTTGCAGCCTGACTTCCAACCACTATGCTACCAGAGCTGCTCTGATCAAATATGCTGCTGTTGTGTGCCTTGGAGTCGGTTTTGCCTCAGAGCGACCCTGTACAGGGTTTCTGAGGCTGTAAATCTGTATGGGAGCAGAACGCCTCATCTTTCTCCCACGGAGCAGCTGGTAGTTTCAAACTGCTGACTGTGAGATTAGCAGCCCAATTCGTAACCACTGTGCTACCAGAGGCTCCTTTGATCAAATATAGCAGGATAATTTTTAAGTTGATAATTTTGTATGGCCAGCAAATGAAATGATGTTATAAAGTTTGGCAGAAAATAGGTCTTCTTCTCCCCCTCCTCCCCACCCAGTTTACTGCAAAATAACGCCATGTAAAAATATTTCCTTTATGTGTAGCAGTAACTTATGTAAATAATGATTTTACACAAAGCCTCTTGTAATTTTTTCCAATACATATTGGTTCCTGGTGTGGTGTTGTGGGATAATGCATTGGATTGCAAGGTTGGTTTTAACCACAGGGTCGGTGGTTCAAATTCACCAGTTGCTCTTTGGAAACTCTATACAGTGTCACTATGAGTCAAAATCGACTCAACGGCACTTAACAACAATGCACACAGGAGTTCCGGTGTGGCGATGTAGGCTAAGGACTGGACTGCTAACCACAGAGTCAGTGGTTAATACCCACCAGACACTCCTTGAAACCCTATACAGGGTTGCTATGGTTTGGAACAAACTTGAGGGCATGTCACAACAGCAACATTTACATAGGAAATAACATTATTTTCTTTAGGTCTGAAATTTTATAACTGTTCAAATTTTTATAATAAATTAAAATTTTTATTAAATTATGAAAAGAATAAAATAGGCTATAGCATAATAAAAGAATATATCCAAGAGTTTCATACAGTAAAGAAACCTATGTATAAAATATCCAGTTTGCATGATACACTAATAATATGTTGTTGGTGTTGTTAAGGGCCATCAAGTCGGTTATGACACATAGCGACCCCATATAGGGTTTCCAAGAGGCAGCTGGTGAGTTTGAACCATCAGCCTGGTGGTTCAAATCGACCTTGTGGTCCAGTGCTTTATCCCACAGCATCATTCCAAGACTTGACACCAAGAATATGATTAGTTTTAAGTTATTTGTTAGATAAAACACCTCAATCCAAATAGTATCAAAACAGAGGACTAAAACTCCTAAACCATAATACTTACTTGAAAAACTTTGAGGAGAATTTACTTAAGACCCACGTAAACATTATTTTCCCACTGGAAATAATAATTCTTCCTGTAGTAACTGACTTTAAAATTCTAATTTGTAATATTCTTTCCAGTAATTTACCCATCCAACCTTATTAGCTAAACAATTTTACTGGGTATTTCATACATATTATTCAGTGTCCTTGATTTTATTATTGTTGATGTTGTTACATGCTGCCTTCAAGTTGGTTCTGCTCATAGATACTTGTATAGGGTTTCAAGGAGCAACTGGTGGGTTTGAACAACCAACTTCGCGATTAACAGTCCAATGCTTATCCTACAGTGCCACACCAGGACTAGGGGAGTATATACATGAGAACATGTAATAAAAACAATCTTCCCATAATCTTCTATAATCAATGGATCATATTGGTCAATCTTTGAGTGAGCATGTGCTCCAGTTTCCTTTTCAAAGCAATTGCATGGAATTTCACTCTTGGGGTGGCAATATAGTATAAACATTGGACTGCTAACCAGGAGGTTGGTGGTTCAAACCTATCCATTGCTCCTTGGAAACTCTAGACAGGATCTCTATGAGTTGGAATTGACATGACAGTACTTAACAACAAAATTTTTAAAACTGTGGTCGTAATTTCAAACATACAACAACCCTTATTATAGTTACAAATTGTTGATATGAATTTGTAAAGATAATAAATGTCACACACCACTGTTATTGTTAGAGTTCACTCACTAGGTTGGTCTATTGTAGAACTTGGGGTCTAACAAAGTTCAGTTCTTTGTTAGACAAAGTTCAGTTTGTTAAATAAAATGCTATTTATGTAAGTTCAGAAATGCAGAATCTTTTTTTTAAAAGATTTTTCTTCTTAAGAAACCGAATTAAATGTGAAACTTATAGCATATACCATTTAGATCCCTAGTGATTCAGTTTGAGTACAAACATCAATAATTTATAATGGCCTGTTTTAGTACTTTCTGATGAAGTTCAGAATTGACATTTAAGAAAGAAAAATGATACCAAGTCATTGATCATCACTTCCTGTGCTGAGGTTGAAAGCTTAATAGGAGAAATGCAGAATCTTGACCCAAAGGATTTGGAAACTCTTGGTGGAAATGGTCTTGATTCTTTTATCAGTTTTTCTGAATGTTTTTGGAAATTACCACCAATTGTGGTACCTAAAAATATTTGATGTGGCT